CCCCCCCCCTCGCCGCCATCCGTTCGCCGACGCCTCCTTATCCCTGGTGACGTCATTCACAGTTCGGGATCTACGAATTCGTGCGCAAAGAGATTATGAACCGCAAGGGTGAAGAGAAGAAGCCGCTAGACTGGCTGCACCCGGCCGTGCGGCGGACGCTTCGCATTGGTGCCGACCGCGGCTCTATGCAGCCAGATTTCTTCAAGGACTTCTTGCGGAACGTGTATCTCATTGAGGAGGACATGATCTGATGCATGAATACCTTACCATGACTTGGGTGCGTCTTCCTGAGAAAGAGTTCATTGATATGTTGCCTGCCTTTCGGTAACTTGCGTCAACGAATATTTTGGGGGTAACTCTAGCCGTGCAGTACAACGGGATTCGTGAACAACTGCAGGTAGTGCATCTTATTTAAGACGACCAGATTGCTGGCCCTTCCATGCAGCACGCCTCGCTAGCGTAGCTGCGTGTATGAAAAGTAGTGTCGGCAAGCTTTGGTTTCGAGTCCGTCGCTATCCTCCACGTTGTAGGATTGGGATCAGCGCAAGAACCTTTGGCGTGTTCTCAGCATGCTATACATGTACGGACCAAAGCTCGAAATTTTGCTTGGTGTTTTTTTTTTAATGTCGTCGCCACTCTTCTTGGATCGTCTTCGTCTTCTTTACGTCCTTCCACTGCTTCGTTTGGCTAGCTTGCTGTCTGCATTAGATAGAAAATATTGTGTTTTGCTTGTCGTTCGTAGACCCGGTAGGCGGTAGAGGGAGGAGATGGGTGTGGTTAGGGAGTGGTCGCGACACACAGCGACCCTACCTACTATGGAGCAGGAGTGGGCGGCGAGCCTTGTGGTTCTACTGCTGCTGTGGCATGAAGTTTTCTGTTTTTTGGGCAAAATATTAATCGGAGGAGAAAACCGTTTCGGACGGAAATCGAAAGCCATTCCTCGGATGACGGGCTGGCTTAATCCAAGGTCTTTTGAGTGACTGGTGTCTTGACATTTCGTTTGAACACGGGTGGCGTCCCGTGGCGTCCCGTTAATGTTAGTTAATGTTCTGATTTGATTGGTTAGCTGGGTGGTGGCTGGTCGACCGCAGTAGCTCAATTGTGCACGTGTATTCATAACGTGGAGGTAGTCTTTGCCACTCGTGATTCTTTTCTATTTTTCGTTCATCTTTCCCTCCCGGCCGCCGTCCCGCTAGTGGACGGGAGGCGATTTCACCACCAGGCACCCGCCCCGCCCAATGGGCGGACGGCCGCCACACCCCAGTTTTGTACTGCGCTAGGCTGAAATATATCTCCTCAGGAAACAGTTGTAGCATTAGTAGTCCCTCTGAGTCCACATTGCGTGATGAGTGAGTGAGTGAACAGGATTCGAGATAAAAAATATCATTCAGGGTTGGTTCATGATGGTCTGCACTGTTGGCGATTTGCCCACCGAAACTTGCTTGTGTTTTCATCTATTTTATTTTTATTGTTCTGTTAGGTTGTTTGGGGGATTCAACCAACAGGCAAGTAGCGTACGTAACGGGCTACTTTACTTGCTATCGACACCACCACCAGCGGCCTGTTTTTTCGCGCGTTGCCACCTACCTGCTCTTCTTGTATCTTGCGCGGATCCACTAACTTCTCGCCTCAAACACAAGAGTGCCACAGAAAAAGTCGCAGGCCAAAGTGAATTGAGCGCAAGCTTGGTGTATCTCTGAGCTTGTATGTAGATCCTTCGTGTTGAATGGGTCTGAATATCATTTTCATCACGCGCAAGCGCTCTCCCGCTCACCTGTTGCATCTTTCATTCTTCAAACACAACGAACGAATGAATCAAGCTGCATCTCTTTTCACAGATGTGAGTTCAGCACTAATTAGCAATGAACCGATAGCATGTGCGGAGCACTTGTACTACCAGTGTTTCCATGGTCCCAGAGCAGCACACACACACAGGAGGCGTCCAATCTCCGACAAAAGTACGCTGAGGTACTAGACTAGACTAATACAAAAGGAGTTGGGACGCTTTTTGGTCCGATATTGCAGCGTAGCAGTTTATATCCGGAACAGGCTCAAAGTGTACCAACAGAAGAGAGCCCCCTACATCATGTACCTAGTGGGGGTGGTACACCAGCCTCTTCATAACTCTGGGATGAAGATCGAGGGTTGTGTCACGTACTCAGCTTAGTATTTAGTTAGGTATGTAGACTAGACTATACGTCTATTGCAAAAGGAATGGCTTCATTTGGATTAGAGACACGTAGACTAACCATGGCGAGGTTAAAATTCAAATATGTTGTTGTTGTTATCCCGCTGGTGGTGGCAGCACACGTAGTCATGCGTGTGTACGGCGGTAGGTGCACTTACATGAGGTTGGCATGATGCTAACATCATTTGGTAGCTATTTTTTGGGCCGAGTTGATTGAGATCTTCGACTGCTGGGTTCTAGCGCTGTGGTGTATGGAATTCCATCCTACTTGGGCCCATCGCTAGCTATTGGAGATATTTACAGCCATAGTGCTTCATCTTGGAGGGATGGCTCTGCTGTAGGCGTGTACAGCATGGTAGAGTGCGAATTGGCGCTTACGTACGTCTGATTTTTTTTTCTACGCGTAGCCCTGAGGCGGATTGCGGAGGAGCGATTTCGCACGGGCAAGGGGTCCCGCATAAGAACCCCATATATCTCCATGTTGGACTCTGTGAGCCCCTCTTTGTGGTACGAAGCGACCTGCCGAGTAGGAGACATCCACGATTACTGCTGTACACCACTACAATAACTGATGGCTTGGTCATGTCCATCGGAACTTCTGAAGGGGCTGACTCTGTCGGAGAAGAAGAGCCTCGCTGGTCTTGTGGCGGTGGGTGCTTGACGGAATATTATTTAGAGTTCCTGCCCGAGATGATTGTGATTTGCCCAGCGTTTCAAACCTTTTTCCAGTAAAGAGAGTGTGGTTGCTCCAAGGCTGATGGTCACAGTAGCCCAGCAGCGGCACACCTGTTGTCAGCGTATGGCTGCGGTTCTTCAGTGTTAGCTGGTCGTGATATGCGTGAAGGTTTCCGTAGATGATGGCTCATCGTGACAGCTGTATTTTGAGGACATGCTTCCGAAATCACGTCGCAGACCAACGAGCTGCAATTCTGATTGCCTTTTCGTGGAATTACTCCGCCCCAACGTCATCCAAAGTTGTGCATCGTGAGTGCAATCGGCAGCTGAAATCCAGAGCCCGACTGCCCCACATCCAAAAGAGCACGAGAAATCGGTCAGTGCGTGTAAGGAAATACCACCCTCGAACGAGGTCGTTCCAACGCATCCCTTGTCGGCTTCGGCAGACAGCCTCCTCTTGGCTGCAGTGAGTTTGACTGTTGAGCAGCACAATGACCACTCCATCACCAGACTTGTGGTCTAGTGGTCATCGTGCTACCCAAAATGGAGAAGTCGACCTCTGATAGCAGTCGGTCTTCGGGTTGTCTTGTGTTGTGCGATCACTCTCACCTTTCAGTGCATGTTGATACAGCAGTAGGTAAAATAGTCTTTGGCGTCTGGGCCTCGGGCCTTGGCAAGCGTAGGGGGGGTGTAGAATCTGTCTGCTGCCCCATGTAGGGAGAAGAAACTGTCTGTTGTGGTGTTTACACAAGAACACGCGTGTCTTGGTCTCGATAGTACCAACATGCACCGGTTTTCGTGAAGGTGTATCACGCCACCGGCTTCACCTATGCAAGCGCACCTCGTGTGTGTAGCTTGCACATTAGATCGACGTTTGTTTGTTGTGGGCTTTGTCTTGCCGCTCGCGTTCTGGCGAACTTGAACATTCTGGTGCGCGGGGCCATGGGGCCTCATCCAACCCATCATGTCCCCTCCCTCTCCGCTCTGTTGCTTCCGAAACCAAGACCGCTGTGATCGTCGTCGTAGATAGTCGTCATCATCTCTCTGACGACGTGTTGCTTGCAGTCACTTCTCGCCTGCTTCACGGGTGTCATGCCCCTTTTACTGAGACATCTTAGGGTAAGGCCTCTCCCCGAAACCTCCATTTACATCGGATGATGATGTCGACTACAGTACCCTCTCAGTTCCAACCTTCTCAATGCCTTATGATACTCCGATTGCCGCCGACCCTTTGCTCTCTACTTCTGTTCCGGTGCCGGTGCCCCACCATTCGAAACGCTCAAGGTGTCCCTACCGGCCGATGACCTAGCGGACGGGCTTTGGAGCCTGACTCTCCTCGAAGACATCTTGCAGGTACATGTACTGCCGTAGGTTGGTGTTGACATCGTCAGCCATAGGTTATGCAAAAGATGGAACAACCAAGGTAGTACTGAATAATCCCCCAAGGGGTGCCGGAATGCTTGTCTTGTCTTTTGAAGATGTATCCGGAGGCGGGGGTTGTACTAATGTTTTGCATGCCTTACAAACGCAGCCAACTCCTCTTGCATCTACCCTCTCCCATTCTCCATCTCCCCGTCCGACTAACCACAACCCCAATCCGCGCTGCCCCCTCAGCTCCTGGGCCTTGACAAAGACCTCGCAGAGGGATTATACCCAATCACAGAGCGATCCCGCCGGGGGCTGCCGCGGCCCGCGGACTCGAAGGCAGCATGGGAGGAAAGGGTGGAGCCGTTTCGCGTATGCCTCCCGCCGTTGGGAGAGCCGCGATCGGTGATTCTGAGGGATCTCATGGTGATTGTGGCGCTGCGGTGTGGCTACGATGCGAGAACGAGGTAAAGTTGCCCCACTATTATCTTATTTTTTTTGCTTCGGCTGCGAGGCGCCGCTGTTTCATGTACTAATTTCTTGGGGAGGGGGGGGGGGGGGGGGGGGGGG